TCTTGCAGAGAAATATATTGAGGTCAATTTGGGAGAGTCAAAATGACTTCAGGATTGCTCTCCTGTACTATTTCAGATTGAGGGCACAAGGAGAAGGGGGCGACAGAGGTTGAGATGGTTGGACAGTGTTCTCGAAGCTACAAACATGAGTTTGAGCAAACTGCGGGAGGCAGTGGAAGACAGGAGTGCCTGGTGTGCTCTGGTCCATGGGGTCACGAAGAGTCGGACACGACTAAACGACTAAACAACAACAACACTATTTCAGACATGTGGTTTATATACTTATGTATGTGTTTCCTTGTACATTTATGAACATTTATTTTATATTTGGGACCATAGGATTCTTATAACATTAGGAACAATGTACAGTATTACAATAAGGCTGTGCTCAGTTTCCTATCACTTCTCCATAATTAAACTATACCATTTATCATACAAAATATTATTCTATGTTATTGTAATGAATGTTGAATGTTTTTTTATTTGCATATTGTATGTTGTATTGTGCATATTGTCTTATTTATATGATGTAAGCCACTCTGAGCCTGGCTTTGGCCAGGGAGGGCGGGATACAAATAAAATTTATTATTATTATTATTATTATTATTATTATTATTATTAAAACATACAAAAAAACCAAACACATTTGCTAACCTAATATGCTTTTGTTGTCTCAGCCACTCTGGGAGGCTTCCAACAAAAATATAGAGTGAAAGAAAACACACACACATCAAACATTAAAAGCTTCCCAAATCAGGGCTGCCTTCAGATGTCTACAAAACGTTATATAGTCGTTTAACTCTTTGACATCTGCCAGGAGGGTGGGTGTGACTACCAAAAAGTGGTGGATAATTATTTGAATTGCTTTTCTTATATACAGGCAAACCCCCATTTGTGTGCGATTGGCATGTATGCAACCACAGATGTGTGCACAGTTTCAGACCCTCCAAGTGTCCCTACTTTCCAGGGACTTCCCTGATTTAGAGAAGCTGTCCCGGTTTCTGATTGCGTCCCAGAATGTCCCGCTTTTCCTTAGGATGTCCCTATTTTCATTGGAGAAATGTTGGATGGTATGGAGTTATGCAACCCCTGAACTGTTTGAAGGCAATCCTGTATAGGGATGTATTTTGAATGTTTAATGTTTTATGAAGTTTTTTATATATGTTGGAAGCTGCCCAGAGTGCTGGGGCAACCCTATAAGATGTGTGGGGTATGAATAGTAAAATTATCATTATGGAATGGGACATCTCTATTTTCATCAGAGAAATGTTGGAGGGGATGCCGTTTTCAGCATGGGGCAGAATGGAGGCAAAACAGGGCAGGGCAAGCTTACGCACATCCTGGTGACATGCACAATGACCTGGAACACCACCCTCATGCAAATGGGGGGGTGCCTGTATATAAAGGTGTCCCATAAAATAGCTATCTACAGGAGTAGACAGATATATGTACAGAATCTCTTCTTCCGTGTGACAGCAAGGATGCGGAAAATGGAGGCCTGTAGCCTCCGGTGCAGCATCAAAAAATGTACCCTTGTCGGTTTTGTATGCAGGTAGCAATTTCCATTTGTAAGGCTGACGTTTTACAGTTGCACATGGAAGACTTTCTGGTTGCACTCAGCATCATAAACCTATGCTTATCAGTTGTGTATACAGGTAGATTTCCCCAATAACTAGGGCTATAAAAGCTGCTAAACTGGCCACCTGATAAGATAACCATTGTAACTTCCTCTTGTTTCCCCGTATTTTAGCAGATATGCGTATTGAGGGGGAGCAAGGGAAAACAACAACATGGTCGCAGTCTTCCTGTCACATGGGCAGGGTCTGCCAAGGGCTGAAACAGGTGTGATGTAGACCCTGTGCAGGTGCACCAACTCTAGGGGCCAGGCGTGTCTCCGGCCCCTTTGATCTTTGTGGGAAAGGGGCCGGGCCCGCTCAAAGTATTGTTTTGTTTTTAATTTTTATTTATACTTTTCAGGTTTATACATTTCATTAATTTTACAATCGTTTTAACATTTCAAAGCTTGACTTCCTTCTTCCTCTCTCTGTAGTTCCTTAAATCTATTTTTTAATATCTTCTGCAGATCCAAATTCATTCAATATGCTCATTTAATTATCTACAGTGGTACCTCTGCTTACGTACTTAATTCATTCCGGAGGTCTGTTCTTAAGCTGAAACTGTTCTTAACCTGAGGTACCACTTTAGCTAATGGGGCCTCCCACTGCTGCCGCATAATTTCTGTTCTCATCCTGAAGCAAAGTTCTTAACCCGAGGTACTATTTCTGGGTTAGCGGAGTCTGTAACCTGAAGCATCTGTAACTTGAAGCGTCTGTAATCCGAGGTACCACTGTACTTTAAATATATACTCTTATGAAGCTGCAGATTATTACGATGATCCTGCCAATGTTTTTATCCGTTTGCAATTTATCTGTTGACTGGACACCCCCTGCTGTGCAGATAATGGAGAAAGCTCATAAATTGTATCCCTTCTGGCATCCTGGCCAACTCTATTATGCTGGGGTAAACCCTGGTGCAAGGGACACGGGTGGCGCTGTGGTCTAAACCACTGAGCCTAGGGCTTGCCGATCAGAAGGTCGGCGGTTCAAATCCCTGCGATGGGGTGAGCTCCCGTTGTTCGGTCCCTGCTCCTGCCAACCTAGCAGTTCGAAAGCACGTCAAAGTGCAAGTAGATAAATAGGTACCACTCTGGTGGGAAGGTAAACGGTGTTTCCATGCACTGCTCTGGTTCATCAGAAGTGGCTTAGTCATGCTGGCCATATGACCTGGAAGCTGTCTGTGGAAAAACACCGGCTCCATCGGCCTATAGAGCGAGATGAGCGCCCCAACCCCAGAGTCATCTGCGACTGAACCTAATGGTCAGGGTCCCTTTACCTTTAAATAATTCAGGGACTGTTGCCTCTGTTGAGCCTCCTCCTCCACTGCTGAGTCTCCCTCCAAGTTTATCTGGCAGTGGCGGAATGATGCAAGCATGGATAGAAACTGCCAGTTTAACTTGTCCCAATTTACCATGAGAGTTCAATGTACTGTCACTCTGAGGCATTGTGAGAGATTAAAATTGGGGTGCACATTTTACCTGATGTAAAGAACCCAAGGCAAGCATTAGTGCTGGTGCACCCTACCAGGGCCCAGGAAGCTGTCCTAGGGTGCTTACACCTGGTCTGATGTCATTCATGGATCATTGCAAGTGAGGTCATCTTCGGTTGCCTATAACCACATCTCGACCCAGAATGCTTCCTAGCACCCTGAGGTGCATTGCCAATAAGCCCACAACTCATTTAGGGGATAGGGCCCTTCAGCTCTCCTCCCTGTGGTCTCCCTTCATTCCAGCTTCCTTCCTCCTAGAGGTTCTAATCCCCATCAAACTTACAACTTCCCATTTCCCGGAAAACACTCAGATGGGATGGGGAACCTGTGGTCCTCCAGATGTATCATCCCTGACCATCGGCTATGCCAGCAGGAGTTGTAGCCCAACAACATCTACCAATAGATATCAGGGACTTCCTGAACCCATTATAGTTAAATAATTGGGGCCGTATCCAATTCAAGTCCTACTCACAGCCAACCTACTAGAGTTAATGGACATGACTAACTTAAGTTCATTAATTTCAATAGGTCTATTCCGAGTATACCTTAGTTGGCTACAACCCTTGATTAACAAATTAGAGAGAGAACCTCAATATGTTGGGTAATCAGTTGCTAAGTCACTGTTAAAAATGTGAAAATTCTAGTTTTTGTGGGGGTGGGGGTTTGCTGTGCTTTCTAAAGCTCTCTCCATGGTATACTGATCAAATAGAAATTCCCCCTTCAGCTAAAGGAGGTCAAATGCCAGGTCAGATGTAATTACTGGTGATCATATTTCCCATGAACGAGTTTGTCAGGAACCTTTGGCCTCATCCTGCCCATAGATCTTCCTATAAAAGTGAACTGGCTACAGTAGTTTTCATTTGACATCGCAGCAGAGATGGACTCCAAAGTCGGCTGTCAGGTCAACATGTCATCAGAACCCATAGTAAGTACTGTAGATTTCTTGAAGGGAGGGGAACCTATTTGGCAGAAAATGGTATTTGGGGTGTGCAAGACAACTCATTTTGATAGTAACTCAGTAGCAAAACTGACAGATGCTGACACAGAATGCCAAGTACGGTCTGCCATATCATTAGGCAGGATGAGGCACCAGTTTCAAGTTTCGGTTGAAGATGAGAGAGCTGTGTGTCCTATGTAAAAAGGTAAAGGTGAAAGGTAAAGGACCCCTGAATGGTTAAGTCCAGTCAAAGACGACTATGGGGTTGCGGTGCTCATCTCACTTTCAGGCCAAGGGTGCCGGCGTTTGTCCAAAAACAGCTTTCCGGGTCATGTGGCCAGCATGACTAAACCACTTCTGGCGCAACAGAACACCGTGGCAGATGCCACAGCGCACAGAAACGTTGATTACCTTCCTGTCACAGCAGTACCTATTTATCTACTTGCACTGGTATGCTTTCAAATTGCTAGGTTGGCAGAAGCTGGGACAGAGCAACAGGAGCTCACTCCATCACAGGGATTTGAACTGCCAACCTTCCGATCGGCAAGCCCAAGAGACTCAGTGGTTTAGATCATAGCGCCACTGGTGTCCTATGTAGCCTGGTCTGCACCCTCTTAAACTAGCTTGCTTCCCTGAGGAGAAAGCTCGATGGTTGGGCACATTTTTGCATGCAAAAAGTTCTGGGGTCAATTCCCTGGTATCCCCAGATAGGGCTGGGGGAAAATCCGGCCTGAAAACCTGAAAAGCCACTGCTAGTCTCAGTCTCCAAGACTGCAAAAGGAGCTCTGATGTATCCTATGGCCCCTTGGGCATGATCCCATGGGCCGTAGAATTGCAGCTAAAATTACTCACCAATTATCCCAAAATATTAAGTTTTAATTATGTGCAAGGCACAATCCTGCAAATCCTACCATTCTAAGGTAGGCACAGAAATTAAAACAATGATTTCTGCATTCTCTAGACCTGTTACTTGATTCGTGTTTCAAGAAATGGTTCCTTTTTTTAGTATTAAAATATAACCTTCCTCACGAAAAGCCTTTACTTGAAATAAGAAGCTCCCACGGCTGTCCTGCTTAAACTGTGTTGCAGCTCACTGTCTCAGAAAGTGCCATGTGGATGGGAATCTGTGGGTGGAGAGAGTAATGGTCTGACCTTTCCCAGCTAAGCCCCTGTCTCTCTTTCCCAGGCCCTCAGGTTTATACCCAGAGTGCCTAAGGACAGGAAGCAAATGATCCTCATCTCTGTCATCCTGGTGCTTCTGGCCATTATCATTATTGGAGCGATTCTCATTGGCGTTTACATGACGCAGCAACACACCGAAAAGGTGAGTAGAAGACTGAAAAGAAAGCTAGTGTCATTCAAAAGAGTAAGGCTGATCATTGGCCATCAGCAGCTAAGCTACTGATCATCATTTGAAATTCCTCACAGTGTCCAAGGGAGAATCACTCTGACAGATTATAGGAAATTTAAACATTGGCTTGCAGACCAGCCACTCATTCCATTGGGTGAGGTGCAGGGCCAGTGTTGGTGCTGATGAACCCTGCCAGTCTGATTTTGGATGAGCAGGAGGTCATGAAGTCAAATGACTTTTGTTTATTGTATTTGAGATTCAGAGGTATACGCCTCTCAATATGAGCTTTCCATTTGGGATGTCATCATATTACCATTTCATAAAGTGTTTTGGAGTGTTCAAAGTGTCTCACATACACTGGGTTGTATCCAGTGCTGATCCCACTCCAAGTAGATCCCTTGAAATTAATGAACATGACTAACTTAGGTTCATTAATGTCAATGGATCCAATCTGAAAAGAAATTAGCAGGATACAACCCATTATCTCTGCAATCCTTAGACCAAGGGTGAGGAACCTGTGACTCTCCAGATGTTGTTGGATTCCAGCTCCCATCAGCCCCAGTCATCATAGCCAAGGGTCAAGGCTGATGGGAAATGTAATCCAACAGCATGTGGAGGGACACAGGTTCCCTATTCCCTGGTCTGTTGGGTTATTTGGGACTTGGTTTAGTTTAGGATTTAAGTGCACAAATTGCCAGATCCCAGCCCAAAGTTCTAAATCCCAGGTCCTCCAACTAAAAGATCTCTAGCAGCATAAGTGGAGAAAACCTTTGCCCATGCACATAGGGACACAGTGGAAGGAATAGCATTATTCCTCCCTCCACAAGTTGTTTGAAGATGGAAATAGTTACACCAGAATCAAGTCTCTCTATAATAAATACGCTTACATCATTGTTAAGGCATTTAATTGGACCTCAGTAATGTACACAGAAACAGGAGGGATTATGGGAACAGACAACTTCCCTTCTCTACGATTGCCAATTCGGCATTTATTTAGAGATTAAAATTTAATCCATCACTGCTACACACATATTAATCATCTGAAAAGTGCTTGTGTGTTTATTAAATGCATGAGGCAGGGAGCAGGATCACACCCTCTTGCCATGTCTCCTTTATTTTGATATGACTCTAAAGCACCAGCTAAAATGCTTCAGATTTGTGCTTCAGGATCACCCATGCAAAATACCAGGAACACAGAAAATGCATTTCCCTGTTGAAACTTGTCTCCTCTGTAGATAATTAAAATCACTAGTAGTACAGGAAATGGCGAAGTGGTTGAGCAAACTATGATGGTGAACAACCAGGAAAGTGTTGCTGCCTTTCATATCCAGAGCAATACGACCTCAGCAACTGTTGTCTACGACTATAAACACGTAAGTGTCAAATATATTCTAGGTGGACATCAAAACGTTCTAAGACATTTTACCATCTCAGGTGGTTGAACTGAATAGTCTTAGAGTTCTGTCCCTACAGGATCTTCTGCAACATTACACTGAAACCCATGGTGCCTTGGTTTAGCAGTATGTAGATGAGCTTCTATGAGTCCAAACAAAGCCTTGAGCTCATGTGCTGCCTCCTCCATTTTCCTCCTCCCAGGAGGACGACTTCTGCTGAGTTTAGTTTTGCTTTCAAAGAATTGTGGCTTGGTGTTAATTTAGAGTTGCCATATTTCTAGAACTAAAATTCAGTTATTTTTTGATGGAAACTCAAAGTTGTTGAGCTATAAATCCAGGACATTTTGCTGATTATCCAAAATTTTTCCCTGGACACATGTCCAGGAAATTCTGTACATATGGCAACCTTACATTAATTACAAACTGGAGGTTGCAGTTTACAATAAGACTGGGACGTAGCGTGGATTGCCAGTGCCCCGGGCTCTCCCTAATCCAGAGCTTTCCAAACTTTTCACGTTGGTGACAAACTTTTTAGACATGCATCATTTCGGGACACAGTAATTCAGTTTTACTAGCAAACCAGAGGTTAAACTAACCCCTTTCCAGCCCCAGGAGGAGAATGGGGAGGGTTGCACAGTTTAGAAAGCTCTGCCCTAACCCATGGTTCCTATCAGGGCTGGGCAACGATGGTGGTGGGGAAGGGTCTTCCCAGCAGGGAGAGGGGACAGGGTCAGCGGCTGTTTATTTTATTATTATGATTTATTATTTATTCCATGTAATTTTTACACTGCTTGAAACCACTTGATTTTGTGTGTTTTTAAAAAACAACAAGGCACACCTCAAAGTGGTTTATTTTTCTTTTGAATTCTTATGCCACCCCCAAATTTTGTGCCCGGGACAACAGCCCCTCTGCCCCCCCCATTCTACGTCACTGCAACAAGCAACAGACTTGCATAACGGTATTATGATATTAGCAGTTTTTCTTTCCAATCCATTTCCTAATAATCTCTAGCAAGGAACTTGCCTCCCACCCCCTGTTTAAAGCACAGCACCAGCTGCACACTTGGAGGAGGGCATTCCTTAATTTATCCCCCAATCTTCTCTGCTTCCTGCTTTGTTCCTAGCGTCTGATCGGCTTCCGAATTCAGGACAGAAAACAATGCTCAGTGGTGGCAATGGATTCAGTTGATGTGCCCAGCCTACATGAAATCACCCAAGGAATAGAGCACCTTGATGAACAAGTAAGAAGATATGGGGTGTGGAGAATCTCTCCCCAACACTTATTAAATAATACTGCAGTTGAGAGAATGTGGTAGCAGAGAGCACCATTTTCCCATTTTTTCTTTATATTTCATGTAGATTGTGCAGTGTACCAGAAACCTTAACTGACTGCTTCAGTAGGGCAGCTAGGATTAGACCTTGAGGCAGAAGCCCATACCCTCCAAAAATTCTGCAGGTTCTCCTATTCCATAATAATAATAATAATAATAATTTTATTATTTATACCCCACCCATCTGGCTGGATTGCCCCAACCATTCTGGGCAACTTCCAACATATATAAAACTATAATAAAACATTAAGCATTAAAAAAAAAACCTTCCCTATACAGGGTTGCCTTTAGATGTCTCCTAAAGGTTGTATAGTTACTTATCTCCTTGGTTCAGGGATGGCATAACTCCATACCCTCCAACATTTCTCCAGTGAAAATAGGGATGTCCTAAGGATAAAGCAAGGGACGCGGGTGGCACTGTGGGTTAAACCACAGAGCCTAGGACTTGCCAATCAGCAGGTCAGAGGTTCGAATCCCCGCATGGGGTGAGCTCTCGTTGCTCGGTCCCTGCTCCTGCCCACCTAGCAGTTCGAAAGCACGTCAAAGTGCAAGTAGATAAATAGGTACCGCTGTGGCAGGAAGGTAAACGGCGTTTCCATGCACTGCTCTGGTTCGCCAGAAGCAGCTTAGTCATGCTGGCCACATGACCTGGAAGATGTACGCCGGCTCCCTCGGCCAATAAAGTGAGATGAGAGCCGCGACCCCAGAGTCGTCCGCGACTGGACCTAATGGTCAGGGGTCCCTTTATATTTAAGGATAAAGCAGGACATTCTGGGATCAGAACTGGGATGGCGTCTGTAAATCCAGGACTGTTTCTGGTAAATAGGGACATTTGGAGGGTCTGGAAGCCCAGAGAGTGGCAGATAATGGGGGCAGCAGCAAACAGGCCTCCCATTATCAGCTGTCCTCCTGGCACTGTTCACTAGAGCATCCTTCCTTTCTTCTTATTTTAAAAAGCACTGTATTGTCGGAAAATGACCTGGTAGGCATGGACATAATTGCAGATGCCCATTTTCTTATGGTTACCTAGATAGATAGATAGATAGATGATAGATAGATAGATAGATAGATAGATAGAGAGATAGATAGATAGATAGATATAGTCGTTTACTACAATGAAACGTTCCTAAATGTGCCTTTAAGCATCAGGCCAGGAGAAGCGAACCCCATTTTATTCCTGTGCTCTTGCTAGTGCTATAATTTAACTGAGTTGAAATTATGAAACTGCAGATGCTCAAAGTATTGTACTAAAAAACAACAACCTCAGATTTGTTTGTGGGTTTTTTTGCACTAACATTTTAGGAATGTAGAAGAGGTTGTAAAGCTGGAATAGCAGGCATTGGATGGGGGGAGGAGAAGAGAAATGTTGATTGTATGCTTCGCAAAATAAATGACTGTCTAAACCGCAGGTGGGAGGATAAGACCACTAAATACAAGGTCTAAAATTAGCTGCACCACTGTGAGCATTCCTCAAAACCAAGGAACCAGAGCATTGACACCTTGACATCTAAGTGAAAATCTGCACTACCCATATACTAAATTTCACCTTGTTTCCTACAAGGGCTCAGGAGATGACCACGTGTCCTACAGCTTCAAGCAAGGAGAACTGGCAGATCGCACAACTCTAGGAACCACAGTGAATATCCTCTGCAGTGATGTCCCTGTGTACTGGGCTGAGGTAAAATACTGCAGGGGTTTTTTTGGATCATACATTCACTGAAAAGATTATAGTGCCATTCCCCCAGTAAGTAAGAAAAGACAAAGTCACATGAACCCAAGTGACAATGTAATAGTATCAAAAGTAAGGATTATTTCAGTATGGACAACTATACATGTAAGCATATGTAGGCATATGTGTATAAAATATTATCATTAATTTGTTAATTTATTTTTAATTATATGTGAACAGGTAAGAAGAAATGGGATGTGTGGGAAAATAAATTAGGCTAAAATAAAGAATTAAATAACTAAGTTTTTTGGCCTTTTCTGACACCCCAAACCTCTCTCTAACTGATGGTAGGGCTGACTCTCCCCTGACCCCATAGGAGAGGCCTATAGGCACCTTCTCCTGCTTTTGGGTTTCCAAGAAGCATCTAGTTGGCTACTGTAAAAAACAACAACAACAGGATAATGGGCAGGCAAACTGATGCCCTCCAGATATTCTGGAGTATAACTCCCATACACCTTAGCCAGTACAGCCTACAATTGGGATGTTGGGAGTTGTAGTCCATAATATCTTGACTACTCGCCTAACCCCTGGACTAGATGGAGAAATAGACTGATTGTTAAACGACTCAGGAAATTGTAGCTCAATGAAGGGACTAAGGGTCTCCTAACAACTCTCAGCACCCCTAACCAACTACAGTTCCCATAAATCATTTGGGAAAGCCATGAGTATTTAAGGTGGTATATTACTGCTTTAAATGTATGGCGCATTTAGGGGTGTGTACACAATCCACTCAAAGGATAAGAAGCATGCATTCATTGACTATATGCAACTTCAGTAGGCCCACCCACCCACATGAAATTTCACTTGACTGCCCTGGCTCCTCTTTGCCATGGCTTTGTGTATCAAGTGCTACCTTAATGTTACATTTCATCTGTAGATGGCATTTTCCCTATTAATGAGAAATGGGAGTCAACTCCTCACTCCAGTAAATTCTTCTTCTTCTTTTCCAGAACAACCACAAAGCACAAAGAAGTGGATTGCCGTGTGGAGGGCTTCTGATTATTAAACTCTGTTTAACACTGTTACTGTGACAAAGTGATAGTCTGACCATATGTAGAATAATAGAATTGTAGAGTTGGAAGGGACCCAAGAGTCATATAGTCCAATTCCCTACAAAGCCGGAATCTCAACTAAAGCATCCATGAGAAATGGCCATCCAACCTCTGCTTGAAAGCCTCCAAGTTCACCATCTTCCGTGGGAATCTGTTTCACTGTCAAACAGCTCTGCCAGAAAATTCTTCCTGATGTTTAGTCGGATTCTCCTTTCTTATAACGTGAAGCCATTGGTTTAAGTCTAAGTCTCCGGAGCAGGATAAAACAAGTGTTATGTACTGAAGTTCTCACCCTGGGCCAGCAGGGGGATACTGTAGATAGTTTTCACTCAGGTCCACATATGCAAATAAGGGATTGAAAGTGACGTTCAGTGATTGGATAGTTACAGAAAATGGTTACTGTTGCGTTCTAGTGGAGCTCTATATAAGCAGGCTGGCTGAACCCTTCAGTTCAGTTCTGTTCTGGCCTGTGAATAAACAAGAGCTGTTTGAAGAAACACTGTGTCGTCTGATATGTTCACCGACAACTTAACAACAAGCTTGCTCCCTCCGCCATGTGATGCATCATGCTCATGTTTTGTTTTTGTTTTTTTAAAATTTTGTTTATTCATTTTCCTTTTTCATTCATTACATACATCTCATATTCATAACATTTACTATGCATTTCTTCCTCCCTCCCTCCCCTCCTGGGCTTCCCCTAACTTCCGCTTCCGATTTGTTTCTCCTTTCACCCACTTTGCTACCTCCTAAAAGAAAAAAACTACTAATAACATATTTATACAATAACATCAAACCTAAAGTCATAAAAATAACAATGAATACACCATATTATTTCTCTATCTTCAACACATGTTCTAATACTAATAATGTGGATGTTTATTTAAATCCTGCCATCGAGTCTATAGACTTTCTTTGTTTCTGCAAGTATAATATAAATGGTTCCCATTCTTTTTCAAAGTCACTGTTGTCTTTTTCTCTTAGTCTGTCTGTCATTTTTGCCAGTTCTGCATAGTTCATCAGCTTCTCCTGCCATTGTTCTTTAGTTGGTATTTCTCCAGTCTTCCAATTTTGTGCAATCAACATTCTCACTGCTGTAGTGGCATACATAAATAAAGTCCTCTTTTCCTTTGGTATATGTTGGCCTAAAATACCTAGTAGAAAGGCTTCTGGGTTTTTTTACAAAAGTTATTTTCAACATGTTCTTCAATTCATTATATATCATTTCCCAATAAGCTTTTACCTTTTTACAATCCCACCACATATGGTGCATCACACTCATGTTAAGCTTGTGGTCTACTATGTCCCCTAAATCCTTTTCGCATGTACTGCTAGCAAACCAGGTGTCCCAACCCGTCCCCCATCTTATATTTGTGCAGCTGGTTATCTCCGCATAAGTATGGAACCTTACATTTGTCCCTGTTGAGGACCCATTAGTGAGTACTCTTTGGGTTGGGTCAGTCAACCAGATTCGAATCCACCTGACAGTAACCTCATCCAGCCCACGTTTTACCAGTTTCTCTGCAAGAATATCTTGGAGGGCTTTGTCAAAAGCCTTATTGAAATCAAGATACACCATGTCCATGGCATTCCACACGAACAGGGGACTTTCTGTCAGACTCAGCTTGCCAGTTTATCTGCAGAACTCCATTGACCTCATCACACTGCAGTAAAGGTGTAATGATGGACTGCTTCTTCCTAGAGCCATTTAACACCACAAAGCACATAGCTTTTCATTAATTAGAAGTGGAATTAAAATGAAGGTTCCACACAGCACATTTAATATAGCACTATATTATCCAGTAAAGTCCTCCATGACCAAAACACTTTTTATATGCACTCACAAGTAAGTCAAATTCAGCAAAAGGTCTTTTCCAATGTTGATTAAAAAATTCCAGTTTGCAGATCCTGCCTGTTTTATTGCTTCCTGGTGAACCTGGCTGAAGAATCAGTGGTGACCCTCCCCTTGAACAGCCTTGTCTAACTGACCCAGTGTGAGTTTCTGTTCCCACAAGAAAAGAGGAATCTTGAACTACTGGTTTCATTGAATAATTTTTCTTAATCTTTTTTCCACCACCCCCCCAATAGCTAAATAGTATTATGTTACTATTTTTTAAAAAAAATGAAAAAGTATTGAGAAAATAAATCATTAAATCATCCCCACCAACTCTTTTACAGAAATAGAAAGGTCGCGTAGAAGAAGGAACACAAACCACCCCATCATGGTCCTTCAGTCCCATCCTAACTACAAGCAAACAAATTAGAGAGAGTCTCACAAAATCTCTCCAAAACTACTTCAAGGAAAACAATGTAGACAAACTTAGCCAGATGGGTGGGGTATAAATAATAAATTTATTATTATTATTGTTGTTGTTGTTGTTGTTGTTGTTGTTATTAATATAAGAACCCCCCTCCTATGGGACGCAATGAAAGCGGTCACCAGAGCAGCTTGCATAAAAGAGAAAGCATTCCTTAAAAAACAAACCTCCTCAAAAATTAGCAAACTAGAACAAGACATCACAGCTCTCTCATCACACTACAAACAAACAGGATCTAAATAGAAAGGTCACTAGTAAGTTCAAGAAAGGACATTTGACTTTTAAAAGTCTACATTTGCATCTGACTATAATAAAGGTGAGCAATGGCCTGGGAAATGTTATGGATCATGCAAAAAGTTTCCTTGTGTTGGTGCCTTGCTTGATTCCTCAGAGATAGCAGCACGGGAAAGAAAAAAAGAGAAGTGGTTCTCTTCTCTTGCTGTCATGGTTCAGTTCTACCTGCTGGTTTCTGACCTACGAGGTCAAGAAAGTAGGGAAGACAGACTTAGACCAAAATACAGAAACAAAAGGAATATCCTTTCTCCATATTGTTGTCTGCTACTTATCATCCTCTCCTGCCATATAGGCATGTCTTAGCTTGCCAGCTCCTTTTATATCAGAAGTTCCTGTGCATTTAACTACTTGTTAGTAGCCTGGTATGCACATCACAATAAACCACCATTTCTTACTTATCATGGCTTATTGGACTGAGCAGTGGGTTGTACACACTGTCCAATTTTTCTTGCTTTCCTCCTTCCCTAGTATAAGAGAGAAACCAAAGAACCTGTGCTTTCTGGTAATGTCCAAGCTCTGGGTTGCAACTGGTTTCTTCCCAACAAGTCATGGTCGTTAGCCAGCCTTAAACCAAAGGCAGATTTAGGGCAGCGCAATAGGTTCCACTGCACTGGGTGCTGAGCCTAGAGGGCGCCATAGGGCATCATAACTATGACATAGTGAATTGAGCAGAATGGAAGGTGAGAGGCAGGGTTGCTAAATTTTGACCTTGCACAGGGCACCACGGAAATTTGAAAGACTAAAGCCTGCCTCTGCTGAAGCCATGGTTTGTTGCTCACTATGGATAGTGGCTTCCTGGGGAGCAAGGCTTCCTACATTGTTTCTGTTGCTTGTACCAGGGGAGTTGCGAAGTGGGAGTGATGTGCCATTGTACACTAGCGCATTGCCGAAACCCAATAAACCATCATAAGCCAAAAAGAGAAAATTAGCTGATTCAGCTTTCCCTATCATGGCACACTAGCTGGAGCTGCACGTGAGTTTATTTGTCAAGAAAACAGGTTTAAGCAGCCTTTTCAAGACAAGTATTCAGTTTACTATGTAGTAACATCAGTTCTAAAGAGCCATGTAGACCACTGGAAGTGGTAGCAAGTTTTTTAAAAAGCGATTTTTTAAGCATCCAACCTAAACTACTCTTGGGAGGTTTAATAACATGAGCAACATAAGAGCTAATTCTGACAGTTACTTAGAAGGGCCAGTTCTTAAGACAAGTACTTCAGATTTCATGTGAACATCCTGTTTCAGTCCACAGACGAACAACACAAGTGTATGTTAATAAATATGTGTTCTTCTACAAACATCCTATGCCAAGGGTATCCCCAAAATTTTCTCCTCTAATATTAGGGATGGTCAAATCTGTCAATTTCAGTTTCTTTCATCTTCTCAGTTTCCCAATCTTAAGTTCCAGTTCTCTACATTTCCACATCAATTTGTGATTTTTTGGTTAAACAGTCTCATAAAAATTCATCAGCATTTCAGTGTGAATTTATCTTAATATACACATATTTGTATGCAATTTTACCTACTATGCACATTTTCGCAAAGCAATTTCTCCTAAAATAATGCATTTTGTTATTTTCACACAAATATGTGCATTGTTAGGACCACTTGGATGCATTATTGAACTGAACTGCAAAATTCAAAGAAGTGCTAATTTCCAAAAATGGCTATATTTGAATTCTCAAGTTGTTTCAGATTGCTCTCCCTTCCCTTCGTCATATAATCCTGTTTATCACTGCTGGAGCCCTACTCTGGGTGCCGCTGCCTTAGAAGTTAGCTCATTGCCAGCCCAAATGATGTGTCTATCCTCCCTGCCCTGCCTACCGTTTGAGTAGGACCAACATTTATTTCAAAAAAAGTCTTAGCACACTCTTCAAATATCAGTTCCTGCATTCATCTGTCCCACACTCATGGTGCTAACTGAATCATGTCACTTCACCTTGCTATATAACAGGGCCTATGCTGGATTAGGCAGGAGAAAAGTGAGAATCAAGGTCTTTCGTGTAGGGGGGGCCATGTGTTTTGGTGGTACAACACATGTTCTGCATGCAAAGAGTCCCAGGTTCAATCTCTAGAATCTTCTGGAAGGGCGGGGAAAGACTCTTTTCTGAGGCCCTGGTGAGCCACTGCCAGTCAGTGCTGATTATATTGAGCTAAATGGACCAATGCTCTGACTCGATGTGAGGCAGCTTCCTGTGGTGGTGGTGCAGCTTTGGGACACGTTCCTCAGAAAGAGCTCACTTGATGCATTCATTGGTATCATCCAGGTTGCTGTGAAGTCTATTCTCCCAGACTTTGATTTAGATTGTATGTAGATTTACTGCTTCCTAAAGTGGGATATAACAAAGTTCAGTCAATCAATCAATCAACCAA